GGAAGGAGGCAAAAAATAATTGATATAGCAAGTGTTTATTGTGCTTGTGTGAATGTGTTTTGTACATACATTTCTGTTCTTATTTGACGTTAGTTTTGGTGTTGCCGTTCTTTGGAATAAAAATTTGGTTTTTTGCGTTCCTTTACTTTTCCTGTTACTCTCTTTTAGTGAGCGCATTTTGCTTACGCTCTGGCATTTTGACACTTTTCCGATTTTAGTCCAAAAAGATAAGGAATGAACCTCAAATCACCTCCTCACTTTTTTACCACTACCAAAACCTCTCCCGTTATTGTTTTATTAAAACAATATCATTTATTCTCTTCTATTTCATATATTTCACTAATAAAACAGATGAGGGATTCACAACGGTGTCGTAAGTGTCGTATTGTTGTATGTCGAAAACTCTAAAAGCTTAAATAAATGTTTATAGAACTTGAAACCACAACCAACTATTTAGCACTGTCAGAATGCATAATATGACTTTGATGGTACTTTTCGAAGCCCCTAAATATATTTTGGGTGGGGTTTAGTAGCGCTCACAACTATTTCGGGCTATTCCGTCCAAAGGGGTGGCCCGATCCAAAAAAAAATTCCAAACACTTGTAGTGAAGGGTCTACGCATTATTTTAACACTCACTTTTGTTAAATTTGGGCACTAATTTATTTACAAATTGGGTTTGAAATATGCCCGTTTTTGTAAAATTCGGAAATTAGCGTAAATTTATCACTCCTATTCTCCTTAAAGCAGCCACTTCACCAATACATTTTTGTATTCCCCTTCACTTTACACTTTACTCGATCAGTTATATCTTGCTTTACGACTTTAATATTAACCAATTAATAACAATTCATTAAATAAAAACACCTTCAAAATCACGCGTCTGACTTTGGTTGCATATGCAAATTAAATGGCGAAGTTCAGCTGTCAAACTCCAGACTATGCAAAAGAATGAGAGACAAAAGAATATAGGATATAACCCAGTAAGCATTAAAAATATACAAACTTGTTCTCTGCAAAAGGTGTTCAGCTCCTTTTCTTCGCAAAACAGAAAGGAGAATTCTACTGCCTGAGGATTATAATCCCTAAGTGCGGCCGAAGGCCGCCTACGCAGAAAGGTGTTCTCTGCAAAAGGTGTTCAGCCCCCCTTCCTTGGCAACACAGAAAGGAGAATTCTACTGTCTGAGGGTTATAATCAGGGTAGGCAAAAACTCGGAGTTCGAGCGAGCGAGCGAGCAAACTCCTACTCAATGCATCGCAGGCAACAAGGCGCTCGCAGCTCGTACTCGTAGCAGCAATGAGGCGAGGCACGACAGGTTTGGATTGCTCGGCAAACGAGCGAGCGCTGATTGTTTCCTCGCGCTCCTATTAAACGAGCGAGGCTGTTGTGTGTTGCCTCGCTCGTGGTGCGAGGCGAGTAGCTGCCTGATTACTCGCTCTGCTAGGTAAGACGAGTGAGCGACGAGCGAGCGCTCCGAGTGTACTATAAATCACACGCATTTTTGTGCATAAAAATGTGGGAATGTATGTCAATAGATTACGTGTGTCAAGTTAGCACTACACTTTTCGAAATTGGAAAAGTTAAC